TGCTTAAGCTTTAATTTCCTATTGAAGAAACTCATCTGGAATAAGCTTTACAATAGTGAGTAAATTGCCACTTAAACATATAATATCTGAAACCAATTTGATTATGTGGATTTTAATTTATGTCCTACTATTTATTTTCTCCCAATAAAATATACATCAGATGGATGTTAAGAAAATGGATTGAGTGAGACAACATATTTCTGTGAAGGTGTTTTTTTCCCCAAGAAAATCCATTCATATTACTTCACCAAAGTTTAGGGCTAAGAAGGAGAATATCAACTATACAAATGATTTGAACTATTAAATAGAATATGTAATGGTTAAGGGACAATTCTCCATGGGTCTCTTGCATTTCTGTATATCTGTGAGGCACTGGTTGCCCTTTGCTCCAAACGATCTTTTCAAGAAAGTCTGTGCAGCAAACAGCCTTGCAAGATACATATAACGTCTCCAGAGCAGGGGCAAGGCATGTCTACCGCCGATTATACAAGGTTCGAGTTTCCTAAGCACAGGGTTCCTCTCCTGCAATGCAACTCACTGCATGTTCAGGTGTCACCTGGCCCTCTTCATGTCACTCTGTGGTTACTGGGGCTTCCATAACCAGTGTAAGAAAATGCAAATACTCTAGCTACTACCATTGCTATGAGTAGTAAAGTTCTTTGTCTCTTACCCAAGAGCCTCGTGTCTTCAGTCAGCATCCATGAAAGTGTGACAGTCTAACTTGTTAGCTTGCAAGAAGGATAAAAATCTTAACCTTTTCACAGTTCTTGACAGCAACCACCATTTTTCCTATTTGCAAACAAAAAGCAAACAAAATTAGCCTTTAAAAGGTATAAAAGTGGAGAGCATTTAAATTTTTCATTTTGTTATTTTGTTTTATAATAAATTTCAATATGTATCACCAGTTTGAACTTCTTCAAATTATTTAACTAGCTTCAGATATATTATTAAAACGTGAGAGATGTAATATGGTAAGGAGTGCAAGTATATCAAGGAATATACTTTTGATGTTAGTTATTTATCAAAGTGACTCTACAACCATTTTAACTTTACTTGTAGCACTGCATTCATTTTTTAACAGAACATCAAACTCACTGAGGTTGTGTAATGATAAAAGTAAACTCTATGTTGTTATATTTACATTATTTTTACTTGTTTAGGTTCATAGTTTTCACTTTAACTGTTGTCAGAGCTGTAAGAATAACATATGTGTATATATTTTTATATAATTTATATATAAATATAAATTTGCATAAGTTTCAATATTATTTATGTTATATACAAATTTATATATATTTTATTCACATATATTTGAGGAATACATGTGAATATTTAAGCCACATAAATATAAGTTCCTTTGCTAATTACTTATCCGAATTTCTTCTGTGTTTAAGCAGTATGAACAACTTAAAAATATAGGAAATAAACTCATTATATTCATAATTTGCATTGATTATCTTATATAATTATCTACAATAGTTGCACACAATGTTTTTATGGGATTTTGTGTGAGAATATAGGAGGAAACAAAGGTATTTAACTACTGAAAATTTTCATGAGTTTCTGCCATAGGCTCTTGTTCTATCCCCACCCTGACGTCTTTTTTTCTTTTTAATTTTAGGTACTACACAATTTAAAACATGTACTCCTATGGAGGAGGGGCATGCAGTTTTACACCCAGTTGTCATGCTGAAATTGTCACTGAGTTCTGCATACACGTGGGCAGCAGTATTACTAATTTCACATCATAGTTATCTATAGTACTACAGTGTTGCTAGAGGAGGGAATATCTTCTTCCTGGATTTTCTCAGCATCAGGATTAATTTGCTGGCCCCAGTGTTGACCAAAATACTGGTGCTGGTGGGGTTAGAGCTCTGGACAACATTACGAAGTTATTTTTATCACCAAAGAACAAGGACTAGCCTGAAGAATAGGCAGAGTTTCAGTCAATCATTTCTTTGCAGTTGCACTTGATGTCATTACGGGAAACTCGGAAGCTAGAACTGGAGTCCAGTTTTGATCCTTGAAGAAACTTTAAATGTCCTTTAGATATAATGTCTGCATGACTCCATGCTTAGGATTGGGCCCTAAAAACCAAGATATAAGTAGACATAACATAGAGATTTTGGACATTCACCACGGTACTATAATTAGTTTGAGGATGTCTGAAGTCTGTGCTTCCTCTTCTATTATTCCTGTTTTTGGATCTAGAAACTGGAAAAAGGCAAAGCTAATTGCCCCTAATTGCTACACAGTATGCTAAAAAATAGAGAAAAGTAAAAAAATTAAAGTAAAAATGTTTGCTATATTTAAGTTATATGATGATAAAGTATTTACTCGTTCCTTAAAACTAATCCTATATTGCCAAAAATCTCAACTCATCCTTGAGCCTAATCGTTGGAGACAGATACGGAAACAGAGTCAGTAATTGGTTAAGGCTTAAAGAATGGGGTGAAGATTAAGGAAGTGGTGAATATTAGTGCATGAGATATTGTCAGTGAAGTAGTAACCATAAGGCGTTGGGTTGTGGCTGATGAGTGGAGGATCACTGATTCAATATGGAGTTTAGGGATGACAGAGGTAGTAGAGATGGAGTAAGGATGACTGCTGCATGAATTACTTGCTGAAATAATAAGTTAGATCTCAACAGTTGGTTTTTGGTTAAAAAAAACAATGTGAATATCAAAAAATGATCTGCATGAGAATGACCATATCAAATGCATAGGTAAAGCACAGAGACCAACATGGTGACCAATCTCAAAGAGGAGTAGCCTATTTTAAGCAAAGTACCATCTACCTGCGAGATGAAAAGTCAAAAAGCTTATCCTTTGAAACAGGGTCTAGGCAATATACAAATTTCTCACACACTAGATCTTATGCTCTTCTTTGGGGCTTTTGCTTTTGGGTCACACAAATAGATGGTAAGCTAGTTTATTATTCCCTTTTGTTTAAAATAACTTATTGCAGGGCCAGCCCGGTGGCATGGTGGTTAGGTTCACGTGCTCTGCTTTGGCAGCCCGGGATTTGTGGGTTTGGATCCCGGGCCTGGACCTACATACCACTTATCAAGCCATGCTGTGGCAGCATCCTGCATACAAAAAAAGGAGGAAGATGGGCACAGATGTTAGCTCAGGGTCAATCTTCCTCACAAAAAAAATAAATAAATAAAAAATAAAATAACACTGAATATTTCCTGTATTTTATGGTAATGATACTGTAATGTGCTTCCATTATGGTAATAATGAATGTTTATTAGCAACACCGTACATGTTTAAACTACCTACATGTTTTTTTTTTCAATAGTTCTGGCTTCAAAAATTACTCATCTAGAACTTATTTATCCTTAATTACAAAGTACTCTTACCTTGTTCTTTTTGTTATTATGATATTTGGGATTGAGTTAATTATGACCAACAAATATTAGGAATTGATTCTAGATAAAGGAGTAAGATGAGCCCTAAAATGTCAAACACACAGAAAGAACAGTTGAAGAATATATATACAATGCCATAACAGCCATGTGAAAAGTGAAAATACATGTAAAATTACTCAAATATTTGCTGCAAATGAAACTAAGAAGGATTGAGTAATATTTGACTTATGTTTTATCAATGGATTAAATAAAGTGGATAATTTAGCACTATAAATAAAAATTGGGTGTTCATGTTTCCTTAAAGCTCATTTTGTTCTATTCTGAATCATATTTGTATTCTTCTTCTATAATATTCATAGAGCATATTTAAAAACCTAAGTGTATGAATGCATACACATGTGTAACCCATCCCTTATCAAGATATAGTATTATTCCACCACCTCACAAAGATCAGTTGTGCCTTTCCCAGCCAATTCCAATAGACCACCTCCACATCACTCCTCTTCCACAGTCCTGATTTTAACCATAGATTAGATTCGCTTCTAGAATTTTTAACAGCTTTATTAAGGTGTACCTGACATAGAATAAACTGCATATATATATACTTTTTTTTTGGGGGGGGGAAGTTAGCCCTGAGCTAACATCTGCCACCAATCCTCCTCTTTTTACTGAGGAAGACTGGCCCTGAGCTAACATCCATGCCCATCTTCCTCTATTTTATATGTGGGACGCCTACCACAGCCTGGCTTTTGCCAAGCAGTGCCATGTCCACACCCGGGATTCGAAACGGTGAACCCTGGGCAGCCGAGAAGCAGAACGTGTAAACTTAACTGCTGTGCCACCAGCTGGCCCCCAGAGGGTGTTTCACAGAGCCCTACATGTGATGTCATCCCTGGCAGGGGTCCCCGGAAAAGATGTTAGACTGAGACCTCCCTAAACTCCTCCTTAGGACTTTCAGGGATGTGAGGGCCCCGCTTCAAGGCGATACGTCTAAGCTCAGCTGAGGGAGGAGTCCCAGGCCTTGCAAGAAGCCAAGGTGAAGACTCTGAGTGAGGAGTGAGAACCCTAATTATCCCAGGATGGAGAGGGTCCCACATAGCTCTGCCATTGTTGTCATCCCAGGGTGTCCCTGCGCAGGCGTGTTCAGATAAGATTCCTCTTCAGTTCCTCCTCCAGTATGTCAGAGAGGTGGGGGCTTTGGAATGAGAGGTCGGCATCAGAGCACCTGAGCAGAGGACCTCAGGTCCTGCCAGAAGTCAAGGTAATGGTCCTGAATGTGAACTCAAAGACCTGCTATTCCAGAACTGGGGAGGCTCCACAGGGCCTGGACTTGCCAGACCTGTACCAGTTCCAGTAAGACCCAGGTAGGGTTGAAGAGCTGTAGCCTAAGGCAAACTCTAGTTACTTCCACAAAGTCCTCAGGGGACAGGCTGATCAGAGAAGAGAAGCCGTGTGGGTTCCTAGAGCAGTGCCCTCAAGGAAACCTGCAGAGATGGCTGTCGATAAAGCCCAAGGTGGTATCTCCCTGCTAAAGGGTATCACGCCATTTCATCCTCTTTCCTACAGGTCACCAAATCATCTACCCTCTTTCCCACACCCCTGCCTGCTGTCCCTGATCACAGTCATCATGCCTCGGGGCCAGAAGAGTAAGCTTCGTGCCCGTGAGAAACGCCGCCAGGCTCGAGAAGAGCTCAAGGAGCTGGCAGGTGCTCAGGCCACTGCACCAGAAGAAGAAGAGTCCCCTTCTTCGCCATCTCCTAGTTTCAAAGATGTTCCCCAGAGCTCATCTGCCACTGAAACACCCAGCAATCCTCAAGTGCCTGAGAGAGTCCGCTCCACCACTACTACTGCTGCAGCTGTTTCAAACACAAGATTTGATGAAGGTGCCAACAATCAAGTGGAGGAAAGACCAAATGCATCACAGGCCCAGGATACCCCTAAGCACTGGCACAAAAGCCATATAGAAGAGAAAGTTACTATGTTGGTGCATTACCTTCTGCACAAGTATCAAATGAAAGAGCCCATTACAAAGGCAGACATGCTGAAAAATGTAATCCAAGTATATAAGAATCACTTCCATGAGATCCTCAAGAAAGCCTCCGATCACATAGAGCTGGTCTTTGGCCTTGATGTGAAGGAAGTGGATCCCAACAGGAACATCTACGTTCTTGTCAACAAACTGGAGCTAGATTACGATTCAAGAGTGAATGATAACAGAGGCATGCCCAAGACTAGCCTGCTGATGACTGTCCTGGGTGTGATCTTCACGAAGGGCAACCGTGCCGCTGAAGAGGAAGTTTAGAAAGTGCTGAATATGATGGGGATATATGCTGGGGAGAACAACTTCATCTACGGGGAGCCCAGGAAGCTCATCACCCAAGATTTGGTGAAAGAAAATTACCTGGAGTACCGGCAGGTGCCCAATAGTGATCCTCCACGATATGAATTCCTCCGGGGTCCAAGAGCCCATGCTGAAACCAGCAAGATGAAAATCCTAGAGTTTGTGGCCAAGATCCATGATACCGTCCCCAGTGCCTTCCCAACCTGGTATGAAGAGGCTTTGCGAGATGAGGAAGAGAGAGCCCTAGCCCGAGCTGCAGCCAGGGCTGCCACTACTGCCAAGGCCAGTGTGCAATCCAGGGCCATGGCCAGTAGCTCTTCCCGCCCCAAGTGAAGGCTGAGGAAGATTATTTCCTATGTGTTTGAAGAGAACAGCTAATGTTCTCATCAGTGGAAGATAAGGGTGGGGCTGAAGAAAACGTAGTATAGAACATGTTTGTGTTGCTGTTCTATGTAGTAACTTGGATATTTGTTTAAATGTTGCTCCTTTTAATAGAAGGTTTAACTAGCTTCAGAATATGAGTTTATGAATGATATAAGTCACACATTTATCTATGTTTATGAGATTTAAGAGTAAGAGTTCTACTATTTTATAGAAGAAATTGAGAAATGTCCCATCTTATTTTGTTATTTGGAACAAGATAGCATAGTAGTGGATTAGGCATTTCCTTGAAAATGTGAAAGAACTCAGCAGTAAAATAGTTAGGGTCAAGAAATAGAGACATAACGTAAAAGATGATAAATTTTTGCATTTCCTTTTCACATTTAGTCTGTTCTGTAAAATTAAGATATATATACTTGAATGTGCTTAGTTTATTCAAGAATGTAGAATTAACTACATCATAATAAATTAGACATCTTGCACATTGTCTCATTTATTTCTCAAACATTATTTGAGCATCTGCTCTTTGGGAGGCTCTGTGCTAGCACTGGGAACGTCAGGATAAAGACCCACCATGCTGGTAGAATTTTAGAGTCTAGGAGCAGCTGTCAAGTAAAGAAGATGGTGAGATACACCCTAAGACCTAAGGACAAGTCAAAAGAAGGAGAGAATATGGGAGGATCCAGATGTGAGCAGTCAGGTGTAAATGCCCTGAGGAAGTGGGTTTGGGGCCTTGGGAAACTGCATGTTCTTCAGTGTAAGTCAATTTTATGTTAAGCTGGGTGGTGGTTCAGATGAGGCTGTGGGAATGGTGGGCAGGGGCCAGACCCTTGGAAGGTGCGTCCAGAGTTGAGAGATTGAAGCCTGGAATGAAAAACTACTGCTACCAGTTACTTTTGAGTCATGGATAAACCAGAGAGAATTCTCCACCTGGGACAAGAATGGAAGGTGTCCTGTATCCTTTCCCAGTGTCCTTTTCCCACTGCAGCTGAGCATAGCACAAGAACTATGTGTTTTATGTATATTATCCCCAGGGAGTTTCTGAGAAATAGGGGTGATACTCACATGATGGATATGCCAGGAAGCCACTGTCTTAGCAACCTTTGCTCTGGCCTAGGAAAGACAGAGCCTACTGCATTAAAAGTTCATTTTATTAGGTTGTCTTATATGTAATTTGGCAAAGTCCAAGTGAGGGCTATATTGGTAATGTGACTGAAATAAATGAAAATAGAGGTAGTTTGGATGGAAGGAGTTGGTTCTTGACACAAATTCTAGGATCCTTAAGTTTCATCCAACTGGAGAAGACTCCTCCACACCTACAATAAATAACATCCTCAAATACTGATATCGTAAGTAATTTAGTTTTACTTGCTAATTACCATGTTAGCTGATTTGTTGTGCTGTATCATAGAGTGCTATATATTCTCTGCTGTCTCTTGGATTAAAAAAAATCACAGAGCAGATTCTGGTAGTGTCTGGGGTCAAAATAATGATAGTAATAACTGCAAACTTTTAAAGACTCAACACAGGCCAGACACTGTGCCAGGTGCTTTCATACATTACATCCGTCCCAAGACTCCTTCACAGCTGGGCTTATCAGGCTCACTTCACAGAAAAGCCTCATAGAGCTATGCAAGTTTCCTGGCTTCGCATGGCTCATAAGTGTCAGAACTGGGGCTAAACCTCTGGTTTCAGTTCGTTTAGGCCCCTCACTAATCCACTCCTTCTGGAATAAAGCAGATGTTCTGTCTCTTAATTCATTTCTACTCTCACTGCGTCACAATATCCCTCAGGCAATACAATGAAGGACCTTGTTGCCGATGTACTAACCCCAGGTGTAATAAATAAAGATAAAAATGAGAATTAAAAACAACCTCAGGATAGTCTGTGGGTTTCAGTTACCTACAATCCTCCTGCCTTTAGCCCCAGAGTTCCTTGAGAGCTGACTCTGCCCTGGTCCCAGCACTTGGGACTAGTTCCAGCACTTTCCGAATTACATCCCTCTTGCCCTGAGTCTTCCTCCGTGTGCCCTCCTGTCCAAATCAGGATCCTGACCTGCCTTCCAGCTCCCCCCTGCTTTCTTTCATAAGGCTGCACTTTGCTCCCAGTGGAACAGAAAGTTCAGAATCACCTGTCCTTCCCCTGGGCAGAGTCTGATTTGGCACGGGATCTACTGGTTCTTGAAAGATAACCCTGAAGTTAGGGAAGTGGTTTTAGAAAGCAGATGAGATTAGTAAGAAAGGAGATAAGTGAGCTTAAATTAAGTGGAGGAGAACCAAAGACTCCCTCCTAAGTGGTAGATGAGGAAGGACTGAGGAAACCACTGTGTAGCAACCATCTGCAGAGGCTGGATTCCTAAAAGCTTGGGTGTCATTCCAGGCAGATGTAGTATTTGTCTATTGCTGACAAACAAATTGCCATAAATTAAGAGACTTAACACCTCACATGTATTATCTCACATTTCTGTAGATGAGAAATATGGGTTGGCTGTGCTTTTTTCTTTGTTCAGAGTTACACAAGGCCCAAATCAAGCTGTTCAGAGTCTGGGTTCTTATTGGGAGGTGCTGAGAAGAATCACGTTCCATACTTTTTTAGGTTGCTCTCAGAATTCAGTTCTATGAGGAATTCAGTTATTTGTGGTTAAAACACCGACTGTCAACTGAAGCTGACATAGTTCCTCAAGATCTCTCTCCAGTTCTTGCATGATGTAGGCCCCTACTTCAGAAAGAGCACATTGAACCTGTCTCATGTGGAAACTCTCCTACTTTCTCCTCTGTTGCATATCTCTTCTGCCTCCAGCCAGAGAAAGTTCTCTGCTTGTTAGGGCTCATGTCATTAGATTGCACCCACCCAGATACTCCAGTATAATCTCTGTATTTTAAGGTCCTTTCCATAATTTTAATTACATATGCAAAGTGCCTTTGGCTAGGTAATATAACATATTCACAAGTTTCAGGGATAAGAGTATGGGCATTTTTGCGGAACAATTATTCAGTCTACCATTGAAGTAGAAAATATCTCCCTGACAGACATGCCAGCTTTGATAAGAAAAGAAAAAATAATTCACCATTATTCTCCTGACTCTTGTCTGTATCTGCCCCAGGGGAAAATCCTGGTTTTTCAGTGTGCCTAAAGACACCAGCACAAGTGTTCAGGCGTGTTCTTCAGGCGGTAGGTAGCAGAGACTCACAAGTTATGGTTTTTCCATGCAGCAACGGAAGAAGAAAATTCTCAGCATACTGAGATTATAGAGGTTATTGAAAAAGTGCAGAAAGGTGCTATAGTGTGAAGAAGAGTGGACCCTCCCTGCTGAGATTTACATGATCGTTTTGAAAGTTGGTATGATCCTCTATTTGAAAACACCAGTCACGTATAGGCACTAGAAAAAAGTTCTTGAATTGCAAGGAAATTGATCTCAAAACAATCCTCCAGGAAGGAAGAGGGCTGACGTTGTAACAAATTATAACAGTTGCTCCTTTTTCAACATCTACTATGTAACAGTTAATGGGAAAATCTGTAAGTGTTCATCCACTTTACATATTGCTCTCCTTGCTTGGTTCATATGGAGACTACTTGCCAGTCCACTTGTAGTTAGGAAGGGTCGTGTGACTATCCTTGACACTGAATTATGAGCAGAAGCATGCTTGTCGCCTCCAGACCAAGGTACTTGAGAACCAGCGTGCCACCTCCATGCTTTTTGTTTCATTTGGCAGCAAACATGGAGAGCCTGTGTTGAGATGTGAATGTTCAGGATGGAAGCAGCTGGACCACCAAGTCACCTGACTATGGAGACCCCTTGCATAAGAAATAAAACTTTGTTATGTTAAGCCATCAGAAATCAGACCTTTCTCATTACATCTCATAATACTTTATCTGAATAACACACAGCTACTTTTCTGTCCTTAGTCTTATTTAAATATTTTAATTACAAAGGAAATAGGGCACATATTCTTGCTGCCAAAAATTCTAACAATAGGGATAAATTACCATTCTGTTTCCTTACTACGTTCCTCCAGAATTCATCCCTCCCCCGAGGTAATTGCGTTAAAAATCTCGTGTGTAGTATTTTAAAATCTATCTCAGGCCTATTCTTGCATACATGTGCTAGAAAAATACACTGTGAGTTTTTAAAAAACATGTATAACAATGTATATATTGTTCTGCCTCTTGCCCTTCTCATTAAACAAAATAAATGCCAGATCTTTCTGTGAGAGAACATATAGATCCATCTCCCTTTTTAAACTACTCCCTAGAATTCTAAAGTGTGTGTGCGCCATAATTTAACCATTCTCCTCCTGATGGACACACAAGTTGTTTCCCATTTGTTGCTATGATTAATAGAACTGATATCAACATCACTGAACATCAATTCTCAGGCAAATGTGCTTGTTTTATTATAGGAGAGATGTAGAAAAGTGCAATTAGATTAAAGTGGAAAGAGAATGATGAAAGTAAATTTTTACGAATATTGCTGATATTCTGTTCCAATAATGCTATGCCAAATTATCTTCTCACATATTTATGCATGTGAATAAATTAAGCTCTCATTGGCATTTTATTTTATCAATCTTTTAAATTTTGGCCAAACTTTTGATTGAAAATATATTGTCTCACTCTTATTTTAATTTGTGTTTCCCTATCTTCCAAATAGATTGAGCAGAAGATTAATTTAATCCTTCACCTATGTAAAGCGAGATTTCTGCAGTGATATCTTAAGTATCAGGATTCCTCTGGTTGCATACTTTAGAATAACAAGGTGCCAGGAAATGGGCCTGGACAGGAAAACATTAATAAGTGAGGAATATCAGGAGGACCTGGGTGGTGGGGGGAGGAGTAGAGCAATTTCCAGAATCCATGAGAGAGATCACATATTAAAACAAGTCCAGAGGAGCCAGCCCAGTGGCATAGCGGTTAAGTTGGTTGCATTCCACTTCAGCAGCCCAGGGTTTGCCAGTTCGGATCCTGGGTGTGGACCTACGCACTGCTTACCAAGCCATGTTGTGTCCCACATATAGCGTCCCACATATAAAATAGAGGGAGATGGACACAGATGTTAGCTCAGGGCCAACTTTCCTCAGGAAAAAGAAGAGGATTGGCAGCAGATGTTAGCTCAGGCTTAACTTTCCTGGAAAAAGAAAAAAAGTCCAGAAAGACCAGGGCACCTGAAGTCAGGGGCCTGCGTGCAGACATTGGCAAAAGGTAAAATAGGTACCAGAAGGAGAGAAGGTGGAGAATCTGGTGGAGGGTATTAGAAAACTTATATAAATAGGGCTAGGGAATCTCTGAATCATCATTACCAGCCTGAAGTTGTACAGTGATCTGAGTGGGCAGATCTATTGGATGAAAGGACCAGAGGCATGCCTGATAACCCACCCTCCCTTAGAATACCCGCTGCCCACTGTCATGCAGAGTATAGCTGGCTCCCCTCTGTTACCCACCAAGTGATTTTATTGATGGAATCTGAGAGAGCTACATCTCTTTACTACTATGGTGGTTCCTTGCATCCTTGCCAGTGTACCAGAGCTGTGAGCTGTCAGGATGCCTGATGGAGAAGGCTATTTCTTCCTGTGTGTATGAGGCTCTCCTCCCGCTAAGGTTGAGGCTGTACAAGTGGATGGGCTTGGTTGGTGATTCAGGACAGTTAAAAGAGGGAAAGTATTACCAATGAATAGTGGAAGGGGGTGTGTTGCTGCAAGGAGGGGGAAATTGGAGGGGGAATTCACTGAGGCTAATTATCTCAGTGATTCTGGGAATTAAGGGCTGAGTGTGGACATTGTCCTGAAAAACAACCCAGATGTTTTTCCCTAGCTTAGATTGCCTGCCATGGTTCCCGATTTCTTTGCACACCAGAGGGTTGGTTTTCTATGCCTGTGTCTGGTGGCCTTTGTTATCACCAGATACTGTAGTAGGGAGTCAGCGTAGGATGAAAAAATTTATAGGGTGGATGGATAACTACCGGGGATGGTGCACTTCCTTGTTAAATTTGGAATTACGGGTATACGTGGAGTCCAAAACTCTATTATGACTCTAACCCTGACTTGATTAAATTGAAATTAAACAAAAAAAGATTCTGTACTAGACATTCGCAAAGTTATTACATGATCTATATTAAATTTTTTATCACCGTTCTCAGGCCAGCAGAGGAAGGGGTCTCAAACCCTAAAATGTAAAAGTAAGGACCCTGAGGAAGGGCTGAGGGAACCACTCCACCCATAACAGAGTGGACCCGCAGACTCATCCCTGCTATCACCACCTCTAAGTCCATGCCTGGATGCTAGGTCCTAGTACTCCTTCACTTCACCCTCTGGGACTGGGGATGGGAGACTGGAGCGGGGTATGCTTGAGAGCAAAGTCCTTCACTTAAGGCTGGCTGACTCAGATCAAGAGACGGATGAGTCCCAGGCCTCCCAGGAGTCAATGAAAGACTCATATGTGAGTTCTACCACAGTCCTCCACCCCCACAAAAGAGTTCATTCCTCATCTCCAAGAACCACACCCCTCTCTCCTCGCCGTGTGGGAGTGGCCGGAAGTGGCTTATCTAACTTCCGTCTCTGACTTCTCGGAGAAGGGAAGGCATTGGTCGACTGGTTACGTGAGGTAAACGGACAAAAGAATTCTCTGGGAGAGTTCCGGGTCCTGTTAGGAATTAGGGTCAAGATCCTGAGAGAAACTTGAGAGCAAGCCCCACACACACCACAAGAGGTGGGGGGCGGTAGAATCCTGCCGCTTATGTAAGCTTTGGGAGGCGCTGGACAGGGATCACCGGATGCAGTGCCCTTTGAATTCCCCGTCTATGGACTCAGGCAGGTTACTGTATTGGACCAGGGTTTGGCATCTAGCCTTCCAGCGGGGAAGTTGAGGCCCCTGAATAAGGTCTGAGGGAACCAACTGGGACAGACAAGAAAGGCCCCTCAGAACCCGGGCCCCTGCCGTCAGGCCTGGGAGGCCCCTGAAGGAAGTGGTGGGATATAACATACTCTGAGTTCCGCCTCTGGCGTCTCAGGGAAGTGAAAGAATTGGTGCGAAGGGGTCGGTGTAAAGTTAGCAGAGGGAGGAGGCCTATGCCTGGCCAGGAAGTAAAGTAAGAACCCTTTGTGAGGTATGACTGTACCCACTATCCAGTGAGAGGGAGCCCCACAGAGTCCAACCCTGCAATCAGCAATAGCAGGCCTTAGGCAAGGAACATCTGATATAGCACTCCCTAAATTCTTTGGAGATTCAAGGAGGGGATGGCATTGGACCAGGGTTTATGGCCTCAGGCCAGCAGGTGGTAGAGTCCGAGGTCCTAAAAGAAGTAAAAGTAAGGACCGGGAGTGAGATCTGAGGGACCTCCCGCCCCAAAAGAGAGGGGTTCGGACAGAATGCTGACGCTGCTGTCAGCCAAGGGAGGGCCGAGGTGAGAGTGGCTGAATGCAAAACATCCTGAATTCCAAATCTGGCTTTTTAAAAAAAATGAAAGGCTTCCTGTGAGAGGGTATGCTTTAGGTAATCAGAGGAATTACTTCCAGGTCCTGCCAGGAGGTAACGTAAGGGCTGTGAGTGAAGTTTGAGGGGGCCCCCTACCCCAAAAGACAGAGGGTCCCACAGATTCCTGGCAGGCTCTGGGCAAGAATTATCTGATGAAGCATCCACTGAATTCTCCTTGTGAGAACTCAGGTGAAGGCACTGGACCAGAGTGTCAGCCTCAGGACATCAGAAAGAGGAGTCCCAGGTTCTAACAAAAGTAATGAGAAGGACCTTGACTAAGTTGTGATGGAACCATTGACCCCATATCAAAGAGGGCCTGCACAGAGTCCCAACCATGGTGTAAGCCCTGCAGGGTCGTTGGGCAGATATGTTAGGCTAAGGGCTCCCTAACTTCCTCCTCAGGGATCTCAGAGATATAAGGGCCTTTTCTGAGGGGATAGGACTCAAGTCAGCAGAGGGAGAAGTTCCAGGCCCTACCAGAAGCCAAAGTGAGGACCCTGAGTAAGGAATGAGGACCCTGATTTCCCCAGGATGGAGAGGGTCCTTCTGATCTCTTCCATTACTGTCATCCTGACTGTCCCTGGTAAAATATGGTCAGATGGGTCTCTCTCTCAGTTTCTCCTCTGGAATCGAAGGGAGATGAGGTCACTGAAATGAGGAGTCAGCATGAAAGCAGTAGAGTAAAGGGATCCCAGAAGCTGCCAGAGGTCAAGATGATGGCCCTGAAAGTGAATTGAGAGAAACACTTCTACTCCAAACACAGGGACTTTCACAGATGTTGAAACTTCCAGGCCTTGCTGTCACCCCAGTAAGCCCCAGGAAGATCTGGCAGGTAGCAGCCTAAGGTGAACTCTAGTTACTTTCACAGGGTTCTCAGGAAACAGGCTGATAAGAAAACAAGAGCCTTGTGGGTTCTTTGACCAGTGCACACAAGAAAACCTGCAGAGATGGCCATCACTAAAGCCAAGGTGGCATCTCTTTGGTGAACGGGTACACACCATCCATCCTCCTTCCTCCAGGTCACTGATTCACCTGCCCACTTCTCTGCTGCATCTGAACATAGTCATCATGCCTCGTGGTCAGAAGAGTAAGCTCCGTGCCCGGGAAAAACGCCGCCAGGCCCTAGAAGAGTCCCAGGATCTGGTACGTGCTCAGGCCACTGAGGGAGTGGGAGAAGAGTTCTGCTCCTCTTCCTTTCCTTGTTGCAAGGTTATTTCCCAGAGCTTACAAGCTCCTGTGTCGTGTTGCAATTCACAGGGTCTTCAGAGAACCACATCCACCACCACTAATGCTGCAACCGTTTCATACACAAGATCAAATGATGGTGCCAGTAATGAAGAAGGTCCAAGATCTTCACAGGACCCAACAGCCACTGAGCCCCTCCATAGAAGCCCTCTAGATGAAAAGGTGTTTATACTGGTGTATTATCTGCTGTACAAGTATCAAATGAAAGAGCCAATTACCAAGGCAGATATGCTGAGAAATGTAATCCAGAACTATAGGAATCACTTCCATGAGATCCTCAAGAGGGCTTCTGACCATCTGGAGCTGATCTTTGGCCTTGACACAAGGGAATTGGATCCCTACAAGCACATCTATGTCCTCATCAACAAACTGGAACCAAATTGTGATGGGAGGGTGAGCGATGGTAGTAGTCTGCCCAAAAGTGGTTTGCTGATGCTTGTTCTAGGTGTGATCTTCATGAAGGACAATTGTGCCACTGAGGAGCAAATGTGGGAAGTTCTGAATATGATGGGGATATTTGCTGGGAGGAGGCACTACATCTATGGGGAGCCTAGAAAGCTCCTCACCCAAGATTTGGTGAAAGAAAATTACCTAGAGTACCGGCAGGTGCCCAATAGCAATCCTCCACGCTATGAGTTCTTATGGGGTCCAAGAGCCCATGCCGAAACCAGCAAGATGAGAGTCCTTGAGTTTGTGGCCAAGGTCCATAATACGGTCCCCAGTGCTTTTCCAACCTGGTATGAAGAAGCTTTACAAGATGAAGAAGAAAGAGCCCGAGCCAGAGCTGCAGCCAGGGCTCGTACTGCTGCCATGGCCAGTGCACGTTCCAGAGCCATGGCTGGTGTGCGCTCCAGGGCCACGGCCAGCAGCTCCTCTCACCCCTAGTAAAGTCTGAGGCAGATTCTTCACTTTGTTGTTTAAAAAAGTCTATGTTCTCATTAGTGGAAGGTCAGGGTGCGGCTGGAGATGACAGAATGTATAACATGTTTGTGTTCCTATTCTGTGTGTTAACCTAGATAATTTTTAAATAGTTTTTCCTTTTGATAGAGGTTTATTAGCTTCAAAATCCAAGTTTGTGAATGATATTGCTCAAATTTGTGCCATGTATGAGATTTAAGAGTAATAGATTATTTATTTTTTATTTACTTTTATTTTTAAGATTGGCACCTGGGCTAACAACTGTTGCCAATCTTTTTTTTTCTGCTTTATCTCCCCCAACCCACCCTGTACATAGTTGTATATCTTAGTTGCAGGTCCTTGTAGCTGTGGATATTTTTTAAATGAAATGGGGAAACTCTCCATCTTACTTGGTGATTTGTAACACGACAACATGTCAGTGGATTAGGCATTTCCCTGGAAATGTAAAAGAATTCAGCAGTAAAATACTTGAGGTTAAGAAATAGAGAAAAAAAAGTTGGCCAAATATTGCATTCTCTGTTCACTTTTAGTCTGTTGTTTAAGTGATATATGCTTGGATATATGTATATTATTCAAAAATGTAGAATCAATTATATCACAATAAGTTAGACCTCTTGCACACTGTCTCATTTATTTCTCAAACATTCTATGAGCATCTGTTCTTTGTGAGGCTCCGTGCTAGTACTGGGAATGTCAGAATAAGCAAGACCCACCATGCCGGTAGAATTTTAGAGTCTAGGAGCAGCCGTCAAGTAAGGAAGATGGTGAGATACACCCTAAGACTTAAGGACAAGTCAAAAGATGGAGGATCCAGATGTGAGCAGCCAGCTGTAAATGCCATGAGGCAAGTGGGTTTGGGGCCTTGGGAAACTGCAGGTCCTTCAGTGTGAGTCAGTTTTATGTTAAGCTGGGTGGTGGTTCAGAAGAGGCTGTGGGAGTGGTGGGCAGGGGCCAGACCCTCAGAAAGTGCATCCAGAGTTGAGAGATTGAAGCCTGGAATGGAAAACTACTGCTACCAGTTACTTTAACATCATGAATTAACCAGAAAGAAATCTCCACCCGAGGCAGAGATGGAAGATGTTCTGTGCTCTTGTCCCAGTGCAGGTGAACACAGTCCACAAACTAGGTATTTTATATACATTGTCTCCAGGGAATCTCTGAGAAATAAGGGTGATACTGGCTTAACCTGTGATGCCCAGAAGCTATCACGCTGGCAGTCTTGGCCTTGGGCTGGCAAAGACAGAGCTCGCTCTGTTAATAGTTAATAAATTCAGTTATCTTGATTGTAATTTGGCAAACTCAAAGCGGGGGATAGATGTTTTGAGGGGAGGGAACCAGGCAGTCCTTGACACATTTTCTAGGAGCCTTATACACATCCAGCTGGGGAAGATTTTGCCAACTCACAATAAGATCCCTCAAAACGTTCCTTAGCAGGTAACTTACTTTTACTTAGTAAGAAAGATATTAGCTGATTTGGTGTGCTGTGTCCTAGAAGACTGGATATTCTCTGACATCTCCAGGATTAAAATACATTTAAAAATTCAAAGGTGGAAGGTTGGTAGTGTTTGAAGTCAAAATTATAATAGTAACAACTGCTAATTATCAAAGATCCAATATATGCCAGGTACTGTACCAGGTGCCTTACATAAATTAACTCATATTCCAACAGTCCGACTTCACAAGGTATACATGAACTTTGAAGCAAGGATAATCTTGAAGCAAGGGAGCAAGATAACAACATCAAGCTCACTTCACAGATGAAGAACCCGAGGCACACACAGCTTTGCAATTTTCATGACTTCACATGGCTCATAAGAGACAGGCCTGAGAATAAAGCCCTGGTCTGAATTCCTCTAGAGCCCACACTGTTCCACTCCTCCCAGCCAGAGGCTGACCTTGTGTCTATTAATTCATTTCCCTTCTCACTATTCCACGATGCTCTCAGGCGGTAAGAAGGACCCTGTGGCCAGAGTACAAAAAGCAGGCCTAAAGAAGGAAGGTGAAAAGGAGAATCAGGCACAATTTGGGGAGTGTCAGTGGGCTTCCCTTACCTAGGATCCTTCTGCTCCTCGCCCCAGGGTTCCTTGAGAGCTGACTCTGGCCTGGTCCCAGCCCATGTGTCCAGTCCCAGCACTTTTCTGCATTACAGCTCCTCTCCTTGGTCTTCCCCAGTGTGCCCTCCTGTCCAAACTGGAACCTGACCTGCTGACCAGCTCTTCTCTACATCCTCCTCTGGAGGCTGCACTCTGCTCCCGGTGGAACAGTGAGCCCATCTCCCCTGCCCTCCCCTGACTTAGAGTATTGCAACTCCCTGCAGGTCCCATCCCTCACTGGGGACCCCTCTGATAGCAACAGCCCCTTCCGCGTAATTGTTCGCTTCCAGCAGTGAAATTTAGATAGCTCTTCACCCCCAGTGAATGCTTCTAATACATCCTGAAAGTTTTTTACCAAGTCTGCTGGTATGTAGACTCTGATCTGACACATAATCTACTGGCTGTAATATACTGAAGCAGAGATATACTCGTGAAATTAGAGAGGAGGCTTTAGGAAGCAGATGAAGTTATTAAAAAAGGTGAATTTAATCTGATGAATTATTTGAGACTGTCCACTGAATCCATACACTGATGAGCGAGCTTAACCAAGTGGTCAAGACCAAAACTTCCCTCCTAGGTGGAAGATAAGGAATGACTGAGGAAATCACTGTGTAGCAACCATCTGCAGAGGCTGGATCCTAACAGACACTGTCGTCTTTCCAGGAGGTTACAGTAGTTTTCTACGGCTGCTGTAACAAATTCAGTGGTTTACAACAGCAAATGTTTATTATCTCTGTAGGTATTATTATCTACATTTCCGTAGGTGTGATGGCCAGGATGGCTCTGCTAGATTCTGTGCTTGGATATTCACAGGTTCAAGTTAAGCTTTGACCCGGCAGGCCTCTCCTCCTGAGCTCTGGGAAGAACATCCTTCCAACATCATTCAGGTTGTTGGCAGAATCCAGTTCTTTATGGTAATAAGACTGAGGCCCTGTTTCCTTGCTGACTATCAGCTGGAGCTCACATAGCTTCTCCAGGCCTCTCTCCAGTCCTTGCATGTGGGCCCATGTATTTTGAGTCAGTAATTAAACACTGAATCTTTCTCACCCTTGGCATCTCTCTAACATCCCCCCCTGCTGCATCTCTCTTCTGCATCCAGCCAGAGAAAGTTCTCTGCTTGTAAGGACTCATGTCATTAGATTGGGCCCATTCTGATAATCCAATATAATACCTTTATTTTAAAGTTGGTTTCATAACCTTACTACATCTGCAAAGTACCTTTGGCCATGCAACATATTCATAGGTCTCAGGAATAGGGTATGGGTATCTTCGTGGAGCAATTAATTATTCATTCTTCCGCCAATGTGGAAAATGTCTCCCTGGCAGACATGCCAGCTTTGATAAGAAAAAAAAATAACCCACCATCATTCTCCTGATTCTTGTCTCTCTCTGCCCCAGGGGAAAATCCTGGTTATTCAGCATGTCTATGGACACCTGCACAAGTGTTCAGGCATGCTCTTCAGGTGGTGGGTAGCAGAGACTCACAAGTTGTGATTTTGACCATGCAGCAAAGGGAGAAGAAAATTCTCAGTGTATTAAGACTATTGTACAGGTAAGTGCAGAAAGGTACTATTCAGTGACAAAGGTGACCCCTCCCTGCTGAGATCTAGTGTCCTCCAGAAAATTGGTGTGACCTTTATTTGAAAACACCTGTCACATAGTAGGCACTAGAAAAATTTAGAGTATCGCAAAGAAATTTTGTCCCTCTCAGAAACTTCTCAGAGAACAAAGAGGGCTCTTTTATAAAAATTGCAACACTTACAGACTGTTTTTGGAGAGACTGCAAGTGGTGATCTACATAGTGTCTTGCTCTCCTTCCTGGGCACATGGGGAGACTCTATTGTCCAGTCCACTTATATCAGGAGGGGATTTGTGAGTACTCTTGCCACTGAAATATGAACAGAACTAATATTTGTCATTTCCAGACCAAGGAATTCGAGAGTCAGTATGCCGTTTCTATGCTTTCCATCCCATTCAGCGGAATCATGGAGATCCTGTGTTGAGATGTGGAGTCACATGGTGGAAGCGGCCTGTATCCCTGGGCCATCCGACAGCAGAGACTCCCACCAACCCATGTCAGACCTTACGTGTAGGAAGGAGGAATAGACACTTGTAGTGTTAAGTCTTCAGATTTCAGGCTTCTTCCGTTACATCCACTAGCAGTTACTTTATCTGAACAACACATAGCCACTATTTCTGGTCTTAGTCTTACTTAAATATACTAATTACAAAAGAAATAGTGCATATATTCTTGATGCTAAAAAACTCTAAAAATACAGATAAATCACCATTCTGCCTCCTTACAATGGTTCTGTACAATTCAGTCCCTACTAGAAGGAACCACAAATAAAAACCATGTGCGTATAACTTTTAAGTTTATTCTAGACTTTTTTTTTATTGTGGTAACAATAGATAAAGATAAGCCCTAAGTTTGGTATATATTTTCTATATATAATTTGGTTTATATTTGGTTTATAGCATTATATAAATTTCAGGTGTATATCATTATATGCCAATTTCTGTGTAGATTACATCATGTTCACCACCCAGAGACTAATTACAATCCATCACCATACACCTGTGCCTAATCACCCCTTTTCACCCTTCTCCTTCCCCCCTTCCCCTCTGATATCCATCAATCCAATCCCTGTCTCTATATTTTTGTTGCTGTTTTTACCTTCTATTTATGAGTGAGATCACACAGTATTTTACTTTCTCCCTCTGACTTATTTCATTTAGCATAATCCCCTCAAGGTCCATCATACTGTCACAAATGGCTAGATTTGATGTTTTTTTATGGCTGAGTAGTATTCCATCGTGTATATATGCCACATCATCTTTATCCATTGATCCCTTGATGGGCACCTAGGTTGCTTTCAACTCTTGGCTATTGTGAATAATGCTGCCACGAACATAGGGGTGCATGTACCTTTACGCATTTGTATTTTCATGTTCTTTGGATAAACACTCAGCAGTGGAATAGCTGGATTGTATGGTAGTTCTATTCTTAACTTTTTGAGGAATCTCTATACTGTTTTCCATGGTGGCTGCACCAGTTTGCAGTCCCACCAGCAGTGTATGAGAGTTCCCTTTTCTCCACATCCTCTCCAACACTTGTTATTTCCCGTCTTGTTAATTATAGCCTTTCCGACAGGCATGAGGTGATATGCCATTGTAGTTTTGATTTGCGTTTCCCTGATAGTGATATTGAACATCTTTTTATGTACCTGTTGGTCATCAGTATATCTTCTTTGGAGAAATGTCTGTTCAGATCTTTTGCCCATTTTTTAATTGGGTTGTTAGTTTTTTGTTGTTGAGATGTATGAGTTCTTTATATATTTTGGATATTAACCCTTTATCAGATATATAGTTGGCAAATATCTTCTCCCAATTGTTAGGTTGTCTTTTTGTTTTGGTGATGGTTTCCTTTGCTGTGTAGAAGCTTTTTAGTTTGATGTGTCCCACTTGTTTAGTTTTTCTTTTGTCTCTCTT